ACATGCCACGAAAATTGAAAAAAAAATCCGTTCCGTGGCCAACTTCCGGGAGCCATAAGAGTCAGCCTAAAGGACAGAGGGGCGACCTGGCGTTGGACACTCCACGTGCGGAGCCCCTACGTATACCTACGCCAAAGTCGGCATGCTGCCTGTCGGGCCCCTCCGCTGACTGCTCAACTGCACCAGCAGCAGACCAACCAACAACGCACACACAGACATCAATAAGCACACCTGTAAAGGTCGAGCTCCGCTTATCTCTGTGCTTTTTGCAAGCGAAGGAGGGAGAGGACCGAGCCTGGAAAGCGAAACCATGTAAGCTTTCTTTCCTTCCCGATCCGCGGGTCATCATCATGCACGTGTCGTGCGGCCCACAAGCAACAGCCCTTGTTGCGAAAGCATTAGTATAACAGGTGGTGGCTTCGCCGTACGACCCTCTCCTATGTGTCGGGGAGGGTTCGACGTACGGGCTTGCGTTGGGCGGAGTGCGCAGTAGGTTGTGTGGAGTTGCACCGGATTTGGTTGTTGGCAACCATATTCAGTTGTGTACTCTGGCGCAACCTCAACTACTGCTGGAAAGCAGTTACATCAGAGGTGATACTGCTGTAGACGTACAACAGTATGTACGGGGTGTGACCATGTCTCCCACCTGCCAACGTCGGTGCCTGACGTGATTCGCTCGTCGCATACTGTTACCATTCTACTCCGATGCACAATCGCTAGGTGGATGTACAGCAGTAGTGCCACCGCGGTTTTGCCATATGGTCGGAGGACATTTATGCTCACTGCTGAATCGTGCGCACAAGGCCAAGCATTTATGCTCTCCTACTTGCTTGCCGGAGGGCATGCGGATTGTGCACAGCGTTGGATGCAGGATGGTGAATGACTGCACTCGCGATGGAAGACATATGCACAAACTCAAGATCTGGGGCGTAGGTAGCGATGCGAGAAAAAGTAAAAGAGGCATCCATGCTTCAACGAAAGACGAGCGTGCTTGCACCTTTGCGCCCGAGAGGATCCGCCGCGCGAAAACTTGGCCATACCGACGCGGTAAATACCCGCGTCGAGCAGTACCACGCCGTGCCAACCCACCCGTTTTGCAAAAATCCGTTCGGAGAAAAGCCGCGCCGCTGTATCTAACGTACACACGCACTCCAGTATTTTGCGACTCGTGCTGTGGACTCAACACGCACGCGAACAATGAATGTATATCGCCGCAGGGTTCGGGGGGCGGCATGCGCTGCCGTGGTGGCCGTGTCAACCACGGCGACACTTCTTAGCGGCGCCTCGGCCTTCGTCATGCCCGGTGTGGTGCGAACAGCGGCCCCTGCACGACCACCGGCTTCCTCCTGTGAGTGCCTACCTACACACACTGCCGCGCCTCTGGGTGGCACGACCATTGGCACGACGATGGCGTCTCAAGTCTCCTTGTATCTAATGCATTTTTGTCACCGCTCATAGCGAGTGGGTAGTTAGCGGACATGTTTTATTGTTTTATTAGTGGTTTTGACGGTGCTGCCTTGACGTGGTCATGGGTGCAGAAGGGTTTTGCGTATGGTCGAGGGTGCCGACGATGAAGCGCGTCATTGAGGCGGGCTCAAAACGCGACATATGGTAATGGACCCTCGGCCTTTCCCTCCTAGTTTCTGCGAACCATGACGACGTCGTACACCCTGAAGGCAACAATGAGTTATTGACATTAGGGCGGCGTAGAAAGAAGTGGAATGCAGCAGACTCTTCCCCATAGGTCCGTCCTGCAGCGACGGTCTCACGTTTTCCAAAATTTTCAAGCTTTCGGGGAAATCCCCGTAGGAAGGAGATTTGTTTCGTGCCCACATGAAACGACTGCGGGCTGCTACAACAGCTGCGTGCGCGGCCACGTTTGGTTTATCATTGTCTTGTTGCCTGTCTTCATTACCAAGGACCTCGACTTTTGACAGTACATCTGGTTTTGCCGTCATAATTTCTTCGACGTTTATCGATGCAATGGCTGTGGGTCACGATGATCGTCAATACTGAAGGTGATGGTCACTACCCTCCGTCACGGAGCGCGTAGGTAACAACCTTGGAATGGCATTGAAAGGAGGTACCGTATCTTCGCAAGTACGGAGTAGTAGACATATATAGAGGAGGTGGCCCTTAGACTGCATCGAGCTAGAACCCCCCCCATCTCCCCTCGGCCGTGGCAGTAGTATCAATGTCAACAGCTGAGACGGAGACTGCTCAGTACTTGTTGGACAAGAAGGCCATCGGCGGTCCCCTGACCCCGATCGCGAACTACATCCTCGTCAAGGTTCGCTCGAAGGACGTCGCGTCCCAAGGCGGGATCATCCTCCCGGAAAAGGTGCGCGGGCGGGAGGGGGGGGGGGGGGGGGGGGG